ACTGCTCTGTGGGTGATAGAGGGTGGTGCCTCAACCTCCCTATCCACCCTGCTCTGTGTGTGACAGGGGGCGGTGCCCCAACTCCCCAATCAGCCCTGCTCTGAGCCCGACCAGGGGCTGCACCTAGGGATTGGGCCTGCCCTCTGCCACCCGGGAGCAGGACTTAGCCAGCAGGGCGTTATCTCCCGAGTGGTCCCAGACTGCGAGAGGGCACAGGCCAGGCTGGGGGAGCTCCCCTTCCCCCCAAGTGCACAAATTTTTGTGCACCGGGCCTCTAGTATACATATAATTGCATGAATAAATTATAAAATGTTTTTGAAATAAAAGATTCTATAAATCTTTGTTAGATTTATTATTTCATAATTTATGATTTTGTTTCTATACTTTCTTTACTTAAAATTAATATTTTGATTGAGATTTAAGTATAGATATGTAAAATAACATTTTCTATGCTGTCGCTATATTCAAACACCTTGCTAAATTGTATAATTTCTAATAAATTATCTATAGATATTTGGAGGCTTGTTATAAAGATAATAACTATCTGTTAAGAATGACATTTAGTTCTTTTTCTTAGTAACTAGGGCCTGCAATATAATGATGAATAGAAACTGTAATTGTAGAAATCCTTGTTTTGTTCTTGACTTTAAAAAGGGAATTTTTTGCCTCTTTCATGTTAGCAATGAGCTATCTCTATGAATATATTTTTCAGGTTAAAGAGGCTCCCTTCTATACCAAGTTTGCTGGTAGTTTTTATAGGGCTTGTATATTAAACTTTACCAAATATCTGTTTTTGCATGTGTTAAGATGGTCATCTCATTTTTTTATTTAAAAAAAAAATCTGGTGAATATGGTGAATGACATTTAAAGATTTTCTAATGTAAAGCCACCCTTGAATTTCTTAAACAAACCCAATCTGATCCATAATTTATAATCTTTTTTTATAAACTTATAGATTTGATTTGCTAACATTTTCTTAAGGATATTTGAAGGTAGCTTCACTTTCAGATAGAATGGCCTATATTTTTTCCCCCTTAGTCTGTCTTTAGTTTTGGTATCACATTTACTGGCCTCCTAGTGTGAGCTAGGAGGTATGTTCCCTTTTTGTTCTCTGTAGAATATTTGTAACACTATCTGAACTATCAGGGCTGGGAGGTTTTTTGGTGGAAATACTTTTAAATTGTTTCAGTTTCTTTATTAGTTATAAAATTACGTAGTAGGCTCTATGTCTTATGGGGTGTTGTGGTTTTTCTGGAGCCAATTTTGTCAAATTATCTTTTTGTTAATAAAGTCTTTAAATAATTGCATGAAGTTTTTAGTAAAATTCTATTCTCGTTTTCTTTTCTTTCCTATCACAACTGATTATGTCCTCATTTTTAGTTGTACTACTTTCTATGCCTTCTCATCTTTTTATTTCTTGGTAACTCTCTCTAGAGGATTGTTGAATCTTTTAAAAAAACAGTATTTCAATTTGTGCCAATTTTTTATCTTTTGCTGATTGCTTTTCAGCTGTTCTTTTGTTTTTACCAATCTAAAGTTTCACCTCAATGTGATTGCATATGGATTCATTTCTAAATATATACTGCATAGTGCTTAGAACTTCAGTGCCCTTTGCATCTAAACACTGGTGACTGTCTTTAGTTTTAGAAAACTATCAGCTTGATATCCTTGAATAGATAGTTGACCCTTGAACAACATGGATTTGAACTGCATGGATTCACTTACATCAATAGTAGACGATCGGTAATTAAGTTTGGGGTGTCAAACGTTATATGGTTATACGCAGATGCTTTACTGTGTAAAGGTCCCACATTATTCAAGGGTCAGCCTACCTTTTTAGACCATCCCCAGAATTATCTTGTGGAGTTCCTTTTGTCTGAGTACCTTGATTTGCCTTCCAGGCTGCCTATCTGCCCTTTCATATTTTGTATTCCTTTATCTTTTTATGTTCTTTTTGAATTCCTTAGTAATAGCTTCAGTAATGTTGTCTGTGTTCAGTACAGAATGTGTTCTTTCTATTAAAAGTTAATTTTTTATTTTCAAATAGCTCTTTTTTATGTAGATCAGTTCTTGTTCCTTTTTGTTTCAAATGTCTTCTTCTTATTAACATTGATACCATTCATCTCTCAGGAGATTATAAATATTCTCATTTTAAAGTCTTTTTGGACACTTTCTATTTTCATTTTACTTGGAGAGAATCCATATACTGAGGATCAGTTTTATTGTCCTTGTTACTAAACTTCAGCAGGTGTTTTGAAGTTTAGATTGCACACTTCCCTTGCATGGTGGCCTCTCCCTTCTGCTCAGTGTGATAGTTGGGCGGTTGCCTCCATGATAGATATCAACCCAGAGCCAGGCCTGGCAGCGAGGATGTCTTCCCTGGAGGGTCAGTGTGCTGCTTGGCTTGGGTCATGAGGCTGCGTTTATGTACTCCTGCCCCTCTAGGTGCCAGCTCTACATGAACCATCGCCACCATAAGACCCTTTCCCCAGCCTCCTTTGCATGGTGCTGGAGCTTCCGCCAAGGTCCTTTTCTCAAGCAGGAAACTCATCTCTGTCCTGTGCCACATAAGTGTATTTAAACTATGTATCACCCTAAGATCCACGTTCCTAGCGACCTCTTTCTGTTTCTTCAGGTCCAGCCAGACTTTGGGTTCATTCCTGGTTACTACTTGCATGTCTGTTCCTTTTCTAAACTTGAAATGATAAAATTTCCAGTTCATCTCTTGAGCCAGAAGTTTCTTGGGTCTGACCTATAACCAGGGTCAGGCTGTCTTCCCCTTCACAGAATGACATTTAGTATGTAAGGGTGCATTCTGTTTCCTCAGACTCTGTGTTTTCAGGGATTCCCTTTATCATGACCTATGATTCACAGTTTAACATGAAAATAGTACATCCAATGGGCTAGGGGGGGAATTACTTTTTAATCTAGTTCCGTCATTGACTGGGTTTGTAGCCCTTGGGAAATATTTTGCTGTATTGAACCTTTATTTTCTAATCTGGGACATTTTTGGACAGTTAGGAAAATTAAATAGCAGGTCATCTACGAAAGCACTATGGAGTGGTAAAGTGCCATGGAAATAGTTAACTTACATGTGTGTCTTATGTAGACTGAAAACATTAGAAATATGTCCAATCCAAAATATTTAATCTGTGATAGCTGAATATCGTTTCAGGGAGCCATTAGTTTACATGTCCACCCAACCAATATTTATTGAGCTGTCGCTATACCAGGCTCTGACCTGGGCATAGTGAGGGGATGTGGCCCAGTATAGTTAAATCTCCCATGTGCTTTTTCTTCTAATGGTGAAAGATTAAATTGGTGCAAATATACAACTGGCATGTTAATAGCAGCCAGAAACAGACTCTGAGGAAAATAGAGAAGCTTAGATATAAACTAAAAACTCTTAGTCACTTTGACGTATCTGCTCTTTACACTGGTATTTCCTTGGTTTAAGTGATGACATACTTAGATGACTGGGCCAGATCAACAGATTAGATATTTTAAAACCTTTGTATTTCTGGATAAGTAGGTGCAGATATACAACTTCCTCTTCTGTACTTAGTTTTGACTATCAAGCCAGCCTCATGCTCCCCTATTAGACTCTATTCCTTTACAGGAGATAAGCCTTTTTAAGAAAGAAGAAAGGGGTTGGTATATAGGCCAGATCTTTTTAGTTCTACTATACTCCTTGGGTCCCTAATTCTGACCTCCATGTGACTGATGAAAGGTGTACACAGATAACAGCTAGGATTCAGGTAGCCTAGCAGTCTTATTGGCGTATGGACTACATTATAATACAGAGAGAACAAGAACTTGATGGGGCCAGGTATTTTATGGCCTGAATTTATTGCTTGCAATATTATATTTGCAACCATAGGATTGCTGCTAAATGTTATCAGGGATTGGAAAATCCTGCCCAGTGATTGTTTCGTCCCAGAATTCAGGAACCAGCCATTTTCCTTTAAGCATTAATGACATTCTTGTATTTTATTATTTTATTTCCTTTAGGCCTTCCCCTTTCAAATGTACTTCTTTTTCTCTTCATTTTTAGACTTTATCTGACCTTCCCAGATTGCATCACGTGAAGGACCCTTTCCCACTAGGTGTCCAGAGGCAGAGCTGAGCTGTGCCTGCCTGCTGGGCTGGCTGTAGGGCCCTGAAATGGCAAAGGAAGGGTGGGGTAGAGTACAAAGAGCAGGAGAGGGAATGAGCCTTTGGTGGTACTTTGCCAGATGCTTTTTGCCCGGTTGGCTTTCAATTCCCATCCCCTCAGCCCAGTCATGCGCTAGTGCAAGCCTCCCCTGCCACCTTGATCATCACATCAGCCACTCCATTCCCACCCTGGGCCACTGCTCTCAGGTGCTGGGCCGCAGGGGAAGGAAGAGATCAGGGTGCTGTGCAATGCTTAAGTTTAGCCTTCCAAGGAAGCCTCTCAGAACAGGTAGACTTCCTCTTTTTGGTGTAGCAAATAAAAAAGCTGTCCAGCAGAAAAGACAGCTTTTTATTTTCTAAAAAGTTTTAGTACTCCAGGCTTAAAAAATGATGATGGTATTTATTGAACAATTACTACGATCTAGTCACTGTTCTAATCACTTTACATCTATTAACTCATTTAAGCTTCATGACAATCCCAGTGTTTAGGTTCTATTATTATCTTTCCTGCATATGAGAGAATCCTAGAATGAAAGCCCCTGTCTAAACAGATACTAAATGGGCACAAACCTAAGCAATACGGTTCTATAATATTTATTTAAAATAAAAATATACAAATGTCATTGTTTCTATTGTCTATTGTTTTTATTGTTTCTATTGTTGTCATTGTTCTGATTGAAATGATGTCATGGTTTCAACTTCTTGGTGCTACTCAGTTATTTATTGAGAAAGTAGTTTTCCCAATATCTGTCTTTTATACAGAAAAACATCTTTCAAATGAGCAAGAGAGGTTATTAGTGCCAGAAAGAAAAAAAAATAAATCTAAAGACAAATCTCAACACTCAGAAGTAATTGCTATTTCACTGAGGTTTCCTAATATTGGCACTTTTTTCTTTTTTCTCAGCAAACCTTGAAGAAGAAATGGGTGGAGCTCAGAACTCTGCAGTTACAGGAACAGCGCCTGCTTCATGGTAAATGTGATTTCCTGTTCAGAAACCACACTAACATTTCACCCTTTTAGTATGTCTGCCTCTAAGTTGCATTAAGATTATCATCATTATAAGAAAAAATTGTGCAGCATGGATAATGAATACCAGTTTGCATTTCTTTGGAGTGACCTATGTATTTGAAGGAGGGATAAGTCAAGTCACATCCCTCCTTCATACACATAACACATATGCACATCAAAGCATGCAGATATGCTCCTGAATGCACATGCTTGCAAGAGGCACCTGGAGGTTTTAGAAGAGCAGTAGGAATGATGGCCTGATTTCAGCAGATGAGTGAAATTCCCGAGAAGGTCCATGGCTCAGGGGCTGTGTGGTTCCCAGAAACTACAGAGGCTGGAATGGTCGCACACTTTGTGTGTAGAGCTCCAAACACTTGTTCAAATTGTACAGGTTACATTAATGCAGATATTCTTCTTCATGACCACTGAGACCGAAATGTGAATGATCATAATAATAGTAAGGTCGTGGTTCTTGCCATTGTGTACCTTCTAAAGGGAAGGGATGAGTTTAAAATTTGTCAATTTGAGATTTGCTATGTGACTAGTGTGGCCTGAAGAAGAACTTGTATGCATAAATAATTCATTGAAACCACTAGCAGAGTGGGTGTGAAAGAAGGGTTATATTTCCTTCAAATAATACTAAGTCTAAAGTCTCTATTTATAACCTAGATATGTCAAAAGTGATAACCTCTTTACAGAAAAAAAAGGTACATTTAATTTTTAATTAGGCGCTTAACTTATGGCTTAGAAATTATGTTGAAGTTGTTGTTTTTTGATAAAAAGTTTTATGAGTTACTTCTATTTTTTATATATTTAACTTAATATTTTTTTAAAATTCGTAACAGAATTTTTGGGGGCCTGAAGATTACTAGCAAGACAGGTACAAAATTTAGCTACCTTTTGGGTTTCTGTAGACCTGAAGATTTGGGAAACCTTTGCCTTCACTTTTGGAGCATTCTGGAGTAGAGATGGGCTTTGTTCTGGGATTCTATAGCAATGGCCTTGTGGAGACAAGGTCCTTAGGTAAGAATGAAGGAGACTGAATCCTCATAAGGTCATTGTTGTACAAATTTTCTGAGAGTTGAACGAGTTCTTTTTTACTTTTTCTAGACCTAGAATAAATATTCAGGGCATGAAATTCTATAAAGCAATTGCTCTCTAATCAAAGCATAGCAAAATGAAATAAAGTAGGTTGTATTAGCAAAAAGAAAAGAATTATGATTAATCACTCACTGAGGGCTGGCCATACTTAACCTTACAGATCAAAAAGAAAAATAAACAGTCTCCTTTTATATTGTCAACAAAGGACAAAGGAGAGCAGCAGTAGGATAATCAACGCAAAGTGAAACCATTTCTGAATGTCAATGTTCTTTTTCTTTTAAAAAAAATCTTTTAAAATATGTGTGGGATTGAGCCCACAACTCAGGCATGTGCCCTGACTGGGAATTGAATCTTGTCATCCTGTTTCATAGGTCGATGCTCAACTACTGAGCCATGCCAGCTAGGCTTCCTTGTTTTTCTTGAAGTCCTTACCATCTCATTACAGTTATCCCTTGGCATCCATGGGAGATCGTTTCTCGGACACACCCTGTGGATACCAAAATTCAAGATGCCCAAGTGTAGTCCATAAAATGCCATAGTATTTTCATACAACTTGTATTTACATGTAAGGCTACCAAATGGTGTGCTATCTTTCACTTCATTCATGTGGATTCAGTGTAGTGCTCGGTGCCATGGCAAATTCAAGTTTTGCTCTTTGAAACTTTCTGGAATTATTATTATTTTTCTCAAATATTTTAGATCAGTGATTGGTTGAAACTAGGGGGCTGGACGTATGTCTTTCTCAGGCTGGTCTTACAGATAATCTGCTTTCTTTTTGCATTATACCAGCCAGAATAGAAGCAAGGGGGGTGGGGCAGGATATTGGTCTGTGATTACAATTTGAGTTTGGGGACCCCAGATGTCGGTTACAAAAGGTTGATGAAAAACTCAGCTAAGCAGATAAAACTCAATTCGTTCAAATGAATTGTTACTTATTTGAGGACAGGGCTATTTTCTGGGCACAGTACCATTTCAGAGCATTTAATTATTATAGCATTCTAATATGAAACTTGGAATATTGAGACTCGACAATATCCTTTTTGCCTTAAATACCTTTGACTTCTCTATAATGAACCTACAGGTGCAGGTTTTATAATTGTGTTTCCCCTACACATCAAATTATGTTATTGTAAGTTTATAATCACGAAAAAGGACAGTAGTTAAACATAAGAGGAACTAAATGGAGAGAATCTATAAGACAGCATTTCTCCAAGTATATTCCTTAAAGTCCCATTTCTTTATCAAGTTTTTAATAAAAGATTGCAGGGTCACTTCAGTTTAAAAATGATCTTTTCAAAAGTTCTCAAGTCATGCAGGCATGCTGTCAAATGAATAGAACTTGTTCTCATATGAAGAATCTGGTTTAAATGTATTTAATCTAGCCTTACCCTTTTCATGACCATCAACCCTTTTACATAGCAGGTAGGCCATGGGCAACTAGTTTGGGAAATCCTACTATAAGGTTTATCAAATTACCTTATAACCAGTCATTTATTCATGCAAATCAAGACTCAGTGAAAAATATTATTTCCCCTTGGAAGAGAAATTTTGGTGTATTTACTTGTAGGGAGTGATGGTGCTTAGATCCATTCCACAGTAGACTTTGTTTTCTGCATTCTAGGTGATGCAGCTAACTGCCCAAGTTTGGAAAACATGGACATAGATGAATCCATTTTGTTTGGAACCCTGTCCGCGGCAGGTTCAGCTCTCCCGGACCGGAATCGATTATCCAGTGAGAGCAGCTGTAAGAGCTGGCTGAGCTCCATGACAATGGACAGCGAGGACGGCTACCAGACATGTGTGTCTGAGGACTCGAGCAAGGGAGCCTTCAGCAGGCAGACGAGCACCGATGATGAGTGCTTTGTCCTCAAGGATGGGGACGATTTTCTGAAGAAGTCATCTTCCAGGAACCGGAGCATCAGCACTGCCAGCAGTGGGTCCATGTCTCCCATGTGGGAGAGCAACTTCTCAAGCATGTTTGGGACTCTGCCCCGGAAAAGCAGAAGGGGGAGCGTCCGGAAACAACTCTTGAAATTCATCCCTGGCCTTCACCGCCCTGTGGAAGAGGAAGAGAGTCGCTTCTGAGGGGTTGCGATGCCCCTTCCTATGAGCTTATTTCATAAATACCTTCTGGACCTGCTTAGATCAACTCCACCCAGCTTAGTGGGAAAGTGCAAATGAATTGCAAAACTGACATCCCATTTTAGGCAATAGTGACCTTTATTTAAAGTTTTTATATCGTGTTTTTTTTTTCTGCATCTTAATGTTTTAACTAGAACAGCTGAAGTTCTAAGCAGACAGCAAAGAAATAAAGTTGTAAGTTAGATAATATAACAAATGAACACAAATGCTTGCTCATGCTAATGCTGCCTGTGAAGGCAAGAGTAATATTTATTTTATAGATTATCCATGTGAAAAATTGAGAACTTTGGAGTCCAGTGTAAATAAGAAAGTGACAATATAATTATTTGGAATACCTTCTGTAGGCAAATAAGTAGGTATCAAAACTTTATGTTAACTTAAGCTCAGTAACCTCTGGGGAGGCTTAAAAATAGGCAATTTTGAATGTTTCTATTGAAATCTCTGAAGGATTATAAACAAAGATGACCATCAGCCATTTTTCACATCTACAGTGACAGTAAAGCAGGAAATGTAAGATTTAATATGAGGGTTCAAGCTTCATGAGATCCATGGAAAGATATTGTCTAAGGTGGGTACTGAGGAAGATTATAATAAGTTTGGTTGTTTTTTGTTTTTTTATAGGCAGCCTAAACAAAATGGGTGGAAATGTTATTCTTACTTGATTCATTTTTTATTCTATCTAAATATTGAACTGGCAAGATTTTATAGCTTTGTAATTTTTTTAAAACAAATCTAAAATGTGAAAAACTAGATTCAGGAAAAGGATTTTCCTCCTGTAGATTTTTTCCATATCACTCCTTACATTATGTTATATATTTTAAATAGTTATTGCCTTGGCACTCTTGAGCCTATTAGTTATGCTAGTATCATATTATGTCTAGCCATTCAATCGCTTTTTTTTCAATGCCTATTAAAGTCCATAATTTTTCTGTTCTGGTGATACAGCTGCTCACTGCCTCTATTCTAAAGTAAATAACCCTGACAATATAATAAATAGTCCTTACTGATTTGTGTGTGTGTGTGTGTGTGTGTGTGTGTGTGTGTGTGTGTGTGTGTGTGGGCGAGAAGAGATACATCTCGCTTTCAGCTGATGGCGGAGGCGCCCCTCCTGGCGTTATCTGCTCTGTGTGTCCAGGCCGCGGTCTTGCAGCAAAGTGGGTTTGCTTTCAACCGAATGAGACATTTGTGTGTGTGTGTGTGTGTGTGTGTGTGTGTGTGTGTGTGTTTGGGAGAAATAGAGTCATTTGATAGTTGACTTTAAGTGGAAAATCTACACTCAAATAAACTGAGGGAAGAATGAATCATTTGAGAAAAAGATAGAGAAGAGGGTAAGAAAGCCTGTAGGTTAAGAACAAAATAATAAAATAAAAGTGATCTCTAATTGAGAACTGCTCTCTATTAATTCTTTGAACTCAGAAGCATCCAATGGGCTCTACTTGAGAATCACTCATACGAAAAGCAGAGTGCAGCATGTTTCACAGAGACAATAGCAATCCTGCCTACAATTACAGGCTGCCTAGTAGGTTAAAAATGGTTTCTGTGCGATCCCTGACATAACCCTGGAGATAGGTGTTAAGCATGCCCTCAGAAGCAAAAATTTGCAGACGTCCCCATAGGCAGTGGCAGGGCTGAAGTTGGAAGCCAGTTCTTCCTGCCTCTCGCCTATCATTATAGTCTCCCTAGATGTCGTTTACCCTTTTTGCTGGTTCTGGGTAGTTATTTTATCACCACAAGCCACAGGAGGATACGCTCTCCCTCCAAGAATACATAAAACATGCAATTGTAGCTACTGCATGGAAAAAGAGACTGGTTTTGGTAAATAGGAAAACAAACACCTATTTAGGGTGATTGTCCTAGTCTGCATTAGCAAGTTTTCAGATATAGGCACATTTGTAACTGCATGGTTAGCAATACATTTATTTTCAACCAGGGCTAGCAAATGGGCTGTGATTCAACTGATAGAGCTTACTTCTTATCATGGACTAGAATTATCCTGTCAGAGATCTGCTTACACAAATGCATTTCCTGTGAATCCTATTTCACAGAGTTCAGCAGAAGGAAATACCACATTTATTTGAGGAAAGATGACTTTAGTCTTCTGTGATGTGAGCAATGTTTTGAGAACCACCATGGGTCATCTGGGGAAGCAGACCACAGGTCATTTACTTTTCTTGTGGCTTTAAGTGTTCAGTGTAGTGCAATTCTTCCTTCTTACAGTCACCAATCCCTCACAAAAGGCCCAGGGAAGGCACAGAGCGAGTCACACTGTTGTCTGTGATAAGATGGACTAGAGTCAAGAGTCAGTTATGTTCTGGAAAAAAAGAAAAGCACTTTATAACCAGAATACAGGAAAGGAGGGTATGACATGTGTGTTCACAAGTTGTAAGAAAACTAGCTGTTGTTCAGTGGAAATGTGGGTAATAGCTTTTCAGACTGAGTGTGACCTTAGGAGGGCTTTAGATTTCATTTCCCTGCTTAGATGCAAGATGACTCACTTTGATGTAATTTACTAAGAAAATGCTTTTTTTAACCCCAAACTTGTCAAATATGTAATATTGGTGATTAGCATTAATTGACAATTTGTTATGAAAATGCCTTTGCTAGTACGCACTGATAAACCATAATTTGAATCAAGCATACTGGGAATTTCATTGTTATGTGATTAAAGTAACATCACCACGTCAAAAAGTTAGAAATTATATTTTTGAAATAAAACTTTATTTTCACTTTCTACTTTGTAACACCTTTATATCTTAGTTGCATGATGCAAACAGTATTAAAAATTCTGGTTTGTACTAAAGAAATCAAACATGGACACAGTTTATGTGTTCTGATTATAAAGTATAAGTATTTATGGACGTATGTAATCTAAGTACTAGTAAATAATACATAACTATCAAATCTTTCAGATCACAAAATTATTGGTACTTTATATCTATTTTCTACAGAACAATGGGCAATAAAATAAAAAAAATTGATAATTTTTTGAAATAAAGGATGCTATTATTCAGTGTCAGAACTTTTTCTCTATCCCTATCTAATTTCTTCCCTTACCTACTTTAAATGAAATAAATGGCTGTTGTGAGTGTAAACTTTTAAAAATCTGGGGTGAACACTTGACACCTCTTAAGGTTCCTAAAAGGCATTACCTACTAATTGAGGCTTTGCACTTGTACTAGCTTTCTGTTCTTTGACAAATTACTACAAACTTGGAGGCTTAAAACGTATTTATCATCTCCAAGTTTCTGAAGGTCAGACGTCTGGGCAAAGCGTAGTTGGGTCTGCTCAGTGTCTCACAAGGTTGCAATCAAAGTGTCACCCAGAATGGAGCTCTTGCCCGGAGGCTGCACTGGGAAAGGATTTACTACCAAGTTCCCCCAGGTTGCTGTCAGACTCAGTTCCTTGAGGGCATGAGATTCATAGCAGCTTGCCTATTACAAACCAACAATGGAAACAAAGACTGAAGCAAGACAGAGTCTCAAATAATGGAGTGCAAGCACGAGGGTGGCCTCCCCTCACTTGTTCCATGCACTGAACAGAACTGCAGAGGGTCATCCCACCAACTGTTATATTCTCTTCCTTAGGCACAGTCAGGGCCCACCCACACCCTGGAAGCAGGGATATGCAAAGGCAGGCACATGCGGAGGTGGAGATCACTGTGCTACCTTAGAGTCTTCACAGCACCATTCAGGAGGGCACAGATTTGACAATACAAAGATAATGAGTTTCTCCAAAATATTTTGAGTAAAAATAAGTGGTGAATGTTACCATTGTTAATTTTAAATGGTAAGATTAAAGATCCTTCAAGTTAAAGAACCTGGTCAAGATTGTATAACTAGCCAAAAAGCTGAAACCAGATCTATTACTAACTTCTCAACTTTGTCTAGAGGTGCATGAAATGATAGAATATTTATTATTATTATTATATTTTTATTGATTTCAGAGAGGAAGAGAGAGAGAGATAGAAACATCAATGATGAGAGAGAATCATCCATTGCTGCTTCCTGCATACCCCGTACTTCGGGCGTGTGCCCTGATCAAGAATCAAACCCTGACCTCCTGGTTCATAGGTCGATGCTCAACCATTGAGCCAAGCTGGCTGGGCTGATAGAAAATTTTAAAAGAATATTAAAAAGTGAACTTAAATGGTTACTTGCTTTCCAATTTGCTGGGGGAGTCTGAATGTATTTAAATGAATTCAGTGATTGGCATGCTGACTTTATCATTTCTATATTGGTGCATCTTCATGAGCAGAGGATAAAGATTCTACAGAAAAACAAAACAATTCATAATCAAAGTTACAAAGCACAAAAGAAAGGAACAATGATGAGCAGAGGTCAGGAGATATCACAAACAGCAGAATTGTCATATGAAAAAATAAAACAGTTTGAACAAATATAAAACATGTATCTTCTCGGGAAGAGGACAACTTAATAAAGAATATCTTCAAGAAGCCTACAGCTAAGCCCTCCTGACATGGTCCAGCAGGTTGAATGCCATCCCATGCACCAAGAGGTTTCTGGTTCCATTCCCAGTCAGTTCCATTCCCATGCCAGTGCTGCAGGTTTGGTCCCCAGTAGGATGCATGCAGGAGGCAGCCAATTGATATTTCTCTCTCTCCCTCTCCCTTTCTCTCTCTCTAAAAAAATCAATAAAACATTTAAAAACAAACAAAGAATATAACTAATATAGCAGTAAGAAATTGGATGCTTTCCCCCTAAGGATATCCTCTCACTATTTCTATTCACTATTGTACTAAAAGTCCTAGCCAGTATACCAAGACAAGGAAAGAAAGGGAAAGGTATACAAATTGGGAAGGAAGAAATGAAACTGTGTGTGTTTGCAAATGACACGGTTATCTATGCGGAATATCCCAAAGAATAAACAACAGAAATCCTGGAACTAATAAGTGAATATAGCAAGGTCACAGGAAACAAATCCTATATAATAAGAGAGGCATATGCTAATTAGCCCAGATATGCTAATTAGTCATGACCAGTATGCAAATTGACCATCACTCCAACACACAAGATGGCCACCGCCATGTGGCCAAAGATGGCCACCACAAGATGGCCTACAGGGGAGGGCAGTTGGGGGAACCAGGCCTGCGTGGGAGGGCAGTTGGGGGGACTAGGCCTAAAGGGGCAGTCGGACATCCCTCGAGGGGTCCCAGATTAGAGAGGGTGCAGGCTTGGCTGAAGGACACACACACACACACACACACACACACACACACCTGGGCATGAATTTCATGCACCTGGCCTCTAGTTATTATATAAAAGTCAATTGATTTCTTATACATTAACAATGAACAACTAAGATTTGAAATTAAACAAATAATGCAAATTTATCCCTAAAATGAAAAAGATATAAACCTAACAAAAATATATGCAGAATCTATATAGGGAAAACTCTAAAACTCTGATGAAAAAATACAAGAAAATCTAAATAAACAGAGATACTCTGTGTTCATGGATAAGAAGACTCAGTAGTGTTAAGGTGTAAGTTCTTCTTAACTTATATAATAGATTTAGTATGGATTAAATGAAATTTCCAGCAAACTGTTCTGTAGGCATTGACAAACTGCTTCTAAATTTTATATGGAAAGGCAAAAGACCTAGAATAGCTGATGTAAAATTGGAGGAAGAGGAGGGGGAGAAGAAAGAGTAAGAGGATGTTGGAGAAATCGTATACCCAAATTTCTAGACTTTTAATCTACAATAATTAGGACAACATGGTATTGGCAAAAGAGTAGATATATAGATCAATGAAACAGAATAGAGTGCTCAGAAACAGACCCATATAAATATAGTCAGTCACTGACCTTTGACAAAGGAGCAAAGACAGTTAAATGAAGGAAGGACAGTGTTTGCAACAAATGTTTCTGGGACAATTGGACATCCATATGCAAAACTTTACACATTTTGCAAAATTAACTCAAAATTGCATCATAGACTTATATATGTAAAACATAAAATTATAAAACTTCTAGAAGATAATATAGAAAAAAGTCTAGATGAATTTGGTGATGAATTTTTAAATACACCAAAAGTATGATTTATAAAAGAAAAAGTTGACACATTGGACTTTATTAAAATTAAAACTTCTGTTTTGAGAAAGATACTGTTAAGGGAAT